GTATACTTTACAGCGTACATGTATACTTTAATTGTGTACATATACCAATTGGGTTTTCGCAAATACCCATATCAAGAACTAATGATATTTATGAAGTGGTGTCTGATATATCGATAATTTGCAAAATTTTAATATTGACGTATATTTATTTTTATATTATTTTGTGGTTGCTTTTAAAAAGTAAGGAAAATTTAAAGATTTAAATTAAATCAATTTTAACATATTGTGCTTCAAATGATGCTTCTTTTTGAAATGATACTTTGAAAAAAAGAAACACAATATATGTGGAAACATCAATATCTTCATTTTCTGTGCCTTCACCACTCTTCTGAAGCCTTTACCATTTAAGGCTTGTTTCGACACCAATGCTTTTTTCCATGTTTTAGATGACAAACTTTGAAGCCTACTACTCTTTAGTAAAAATTGTATAAGGATATATATTCTTGACTTGTTTTCAGTACTTGATAAGGATTTCTAACTCTTGTATGTTTTTTTGTCGCTGCATAATTTATTATCACTTAACGATATTTGCTATCACATTTTAGGGATGCATCTTAGACATTATAATAATAAAAACCTGAATGCGTAACTGAATATCAATGTTATTTAATCACAATTCATTTATATAAAGAACTTGAATTTATAGTCTTATTGAATCTAGTAAACTTTTTAAATTGTTCGAAACTATATCACTTTGTAGTGATTCAATTTTGTTATAATCTTATTGCATTTTGTAGAGTTTTCGTTATAATCGAAACTATCATTTTATGGTTGAAATTATAAAATTTACTAAAAAGCTTTAGCTGACTTCTTCTTTATAGTCATATGCAGAAAGCTTTTTATAACAAAAGATTATAATTTTGAATAACTGAAATTATAAACTTTCGAAGTGCGAACAAATAATTTCTAAATTTATGGAAACTCGAGAAAAATATTTATTATGGCATTAACGAAGACCGTAATTTTGTGGTCTTCAGCATCAATAATAACATCTCATATACATGAAAGCTTTCATTCCTAATTTGCTGCAAACTTCATAACAGTGAAATAATTTCCTTCTTATAATTTTCCTCTATTTAGGAAATTTCCCTTTTATTTAGATAAAAAGCTTTTAGTACTTTTTCTACAACATATTCATTTCGAAACAGCCTGAATTTTCCAATAGCGCGAATTTCCATTCGAGTTCGAAATTTAAGAAAGTTGTTTATATTTTGGCAGGTTGTTGGCCAATGAAGATATCTGCTCTTCGTCAGTTGTTTGCTTATTTTTTAATTGAACAGACGTTGAAAACGGAAATAAATTGCTCAACGCGACTTATTTAAATGTTGGCGCGCTTTATTTAAAAAACAAAACAAATGAGTTTTGAAACATTCAGTTTAACGCATTTGCAGTGTTTGTTTGCAATTAAAGTGTGAAAATAATTTTAAATAAAAATCTTCAATAAACTGAAAACTGAAAACTGAACACTTTTGATATTTATTTGCTAATTATATTTTTAAATTTTATTTATAATTTAAAATTAAAAAAAAAATCTATTTAAAATATAAAGAAAATCTTGGCAATTTTTTTTTAAATATATTAAACAAGAAAAAGTTTATTTTAAATTGAATTTATATCCGGCAGCGTTGAGTGCATTAAAAGGATTTGTTATTTGGGTCTGTTTTTAATTACTCAAACATTTTATTTAAAGTCCTTGCACTGGTATAGAGTCCGTTCATACAAACTTAGTCATTTAATACAAATTTTTGTATGGTACTGCAACTTTTTCCACTCGAATGAAATGGCCCCTAAGGATAATACACAACAGAAACCTTCAAATGTACTTGATTGTTTATTTTTTACTATGTGTGCCATAATACAAATAAGAAGGAAAGTTGTGAAAAATACTTTCTTATAAAGAAACTGTCAAATTTGCAGCAATTGCAATATTTTGTATTCTGTTTATTTATTTACACAACATTCAGCACAGAATCCTTTATGTGATGTTTTTAAAAATGCTTTGAAATATTTTTCGGTACATATAATAATCGTTCAAAGCGATTTTTGCTTGATATGAAATTACAAATGGCATAAATAAATAAAGTAAAACACAGCTTAAAGTATTAAAAAGAATATATATAAAATTCTGCAATTTATTAGAACTGTTTAATGTTTAATATATAATAATTGTTAGTACTGAGTGTGATTGCTACTCAAATCATCAAATCGTTGTTGTTTTTCACTCTAGAAATTCTAGTAATTTATTTTGCATATAACGATTTTATTTATTTTATATAAAGTGAGATTTTATGGTAATGTGGCTCATAACTTTTGCATAACGAGTCTTCGAACACTTAAGTGAGTGTCTTAGATTTTTCATCTTAACCGAACGGAAATGCTGACTCATCTCACTTGTCCTATTTCAACATATATTTTATGCTAATTTAATAATTTGTTATCCGTAGTCGTAAGAAATTATAAAGTGTACTCGGCTATGTTGTGTTTTAGTATCTCCACTTAGCTTTGCTAAAGTTTGCTATTTACTTGCAAGTCATTATTTACATATTTTGATAGAAACAAGCCGCAGTTGATATTTATTAGAGAATTTATATTTGTACCATAGTTTGCATATTTGAAGAATATGCAAATTTATACGAGGCACATTTAATGTAACAAAATTGTTGAAAATATTTAAATAATTGAATACTGTGGTATGAGAGAAATATGTAGGATAAAATTTCTGCAAAATTTGCTTCATAAAAACACGTTAAAGCGTTTACTTGTATTCTACATTGTTACTGTAATAAAAACCCACTTTCGACTTTGGATACTAGGGTCAATTGACCGAATATCCTAAAAATATATATATATGTGAGTACTGCTTTCCGACAAAAAAAAATTAAAATAAATAAATATTAAATATTTTAATTAAAGTAAATAAAGTATAAACATAATCAATGTTTTCACTTTTTAATATTAGTCTGTCATTATACAAATTAATAGTCTTAGTCCTAGAATTCCGTTCCATTAGGAGACAGTTTTGCATTTTGTTTTACGAAAATTTTATTTATTCTATTTGTTTTTTTCCTTTTTTTTATATAAATACTATGTACAGGAACTGCTTATATACTCATATGCTCATAGATGTAAGCCATCATAACTTTCAGTTGTTTTTGCTTGTTTCTATATCACAATATATAAGTTATCCAACTAATTCTACTCTAGAGTCTAAAAAATATTTTCTAATACACGATTATTTAGAAATTTCTAATCAGTATTGTATATACTTTGGATTAAGTTATATTAACTTGACTGGTCATAAGCAGTAAGCTATGTAGGGGCTTTATCGAAGGCTTTATGTTAGATATACAAACATTTGTTATCCTTAATATCTGTTTAATATATAGTACAGGTCAAATTCTGTTTTAATTATTTGTTTAATAAAAAAGAAAACATACAGTTTTACCCTTTTTAATTATTATAATACTGGAAGTCAATAAAATATTTAATAATCTGAAAAGTTACACTTTTAATTTTATCATAACCACAGAAACTCAAAAATCAGTTATTAATTCAACAGTAATAAATAATCAAACGTGCAGTTTATTTATATAAACGGGTGTTATATAGATTCATATATAATACCAAATTTTTTTGAACCGTCACTTAAAATAGCTATATAAATTCATTGATATATAAAGAATAAGTTTATATATATAAACTTATAACTTTTAATTCTAATGAGTATAAATCTCGCTTGGCAAAAGAGATTTGAAAATTTAAGTTAGAAATAAACTTCCTAATTAAAACAAATTTTATATTTCCTCAAAAAAGATTTTTATTTTTACATACTCATAGTTAATATTATACTTTTCTTCATTTTATTCTAAATTTTACAACCTTTACAACATCCGAAGGACTTTTAAGCTTTCAATGTTTCTTGAGAACTCTCACTTTACTGTCACATCTATCTATTTTGCGCATAAATATCGTACATAGATTTTTTTTAAATTTATTTAAATAGCTGATAAATACGCATTTGAAATACTAGGAATTTGTTGTTCTGAATTCTGAATAAATCAGAATTTAAAAACTAACCAAAGTAAATCAAAACTTAATGGAAGTTCCTTCATCAAGAGCAAAGGACTGGAAGAGATCAGAGTAGTAGAGTTATTTCATATTTGTTAAGTTGCGCTGATTTTAATATTTCAATGCCCAGCTCAGATAAGAGAACTAAAAATTTTTACTTATATGTAGAAAATATGTTCTATTTGAAATAGAAAAAGGAAACATAAAATAATTAAAAATGTTCTCCGAATCGCAATTCTAGTTTATATAGATCTTGATTTAAATAAATAGACGCACCATATATCAACTCACACTACTGTTCCTAAAATCTAGAAACCACCCAAATCTCACATTATCAATACATCCGGCTAGTTACCAGCACAAATAATCCTTTCTTCAAAACTGCAAATAGTGTGGCATCAAAAAGCCTTTCTAGCTTGTTGAAGAGGGTTGATCACCTTCCATTTCATTTGCTTCTTATAAAAGAAGGAGTTGGAAAATATTTGAGAAGAATAGTTATTTTAACTAATCGAAATAATTTGTTGGCAATCGAATAATAATTGAATACAATTAAAATAATAAGTGAATTAAAACAAATAAATTTCAATGTTATAGAAAATTCTATAAGTATTTCTAAATTTTATTTAACATATATAACTTCAGAAGCTGAAATTTATTTGAAGCATATTTTCATATAATGAAATTCAAATTAAATCAAATATTTAAAATAAATGAATTTAAGTAAAATAAATAATTATTATTTAACTTTGGTTTCTTTGTTGTGGTTTTATTTATATTGCTTATTTTGTTTATTTTGTTTATTTTCGTTTAATAGTCAATTCTTGTAATTGCAATAAAATAAATTAAAATGTCTGTAATGCAATAAAGTGGAGATTAAATTCGATAAAATGAAAAAAGAAAACTCAAATTGTAATTGTTTATAAAACAGACAACAGACAATATAAAAACGATATCGAATTAATAAAAAAGAAAGTAATTTTTTTTATTACCCAAACCACAAGTATTCGGAGCGTTGCAACATAATAAAAACCGATATTAAAATTTTATTGTATGCACTTACACGATATCCTGGATTATCGTTTGTACACACAATAGAAATATTCAGCTCAGCATTATTAGGCTATGGTGGAGATACAAAAGCCGACATCAGTCTTGAAGAGACCATCGCAAAGGAAGGAAAACGCTGTTGTTAACAATAATAGTGCACCAATGAAGAAAGTAACATTACCAAAGGATGAGGTAAGTCACTAAAGACTCATCAGAATGATTCTCGTAATAAAATTAAAATTTTGAGTGAATGTAAATGTAAAAACTGTGGCGAAATGTAAAATATATTGTATCTTTATACTTCGAATGCACAAAGGAACATCCTTTCTGGTAAAATACTTAATAAAAGCAAATGACTTAGTAAGATAATAATACTGAATTGGGGGATTAGAATATTTTTTTACAATGTTGTATGTCTGCTATGATAACTGATACTATAAAATGTAATTGTGTCGGTAACACATTATCTATAACAAGTAAACAGAAAGTATCATATGAAGAATAAGCGCAAAAAATACCGCCAACATTTTTTTGTATAAGTTGGCAGTACAGTATTCTATTCCCATACGGTACTTAAATATAAACTATTATACTAAATCAGCTTAATATTGCAATTAAGCTTTTTATTGTCGTAAATATGGTATATGATGCCATCATTTTGTTAAAGTTTTTGGCATAAAAAATCAATATATATGATCGCCAGGCGTCATTTTAAGTGTATTGCAACTGTATATAAAGGATTAGATCTCCGCCGTTATAGATGAGAAGTTTACTTTTTGTTTTAAAAGAAAGAAAATTAATTTTGATTGAACATTTTATTGCATTTCATTTAATGACGCTGGACGCGCTTTACTCAGTTGTAGTTCCCAAAGAATAATTAGTGTAATAAAATTGTCACACATATTTATGGAGCATAAAGGACAACTCGTTGAACCACTCGTTAAAATATAAACTTTATAATAAACTAACTTTTTTCTCAATTAGAAAAGTTTTAATTGGAAAAGAAATCTAAAATATGTTGTTTGTTGTAACTAAAAAATAAGTGCTCGAAAGTTGAAAGAATTTTAACTGAGAAAATGTATTTAATTATATTATTTTTCATGCAGCCATTTAGTTATTTCGAATATTGTCAAATATATAACATCAGTGGTAATAATTAAGGTATTAATTTATTAACGGATGTAGCTTCTTTAAAATATTTTTTTAACATAACACAAACTAATAAGTTTATTAGTTGTTATATGTATATTACATGCGTTTATTTTATTTTATTATTATTTTTTTTTATTATCTAAATTTTTTCTTCATTTGACGTTCTCATCAGGATGGAATGTTGTAAGAACTAATCTTAGACTATATATAATAAAACAACACTGCAAAAATAAAACTAAAAAGTAATAGATGGTGTTTTATATAGTAATAGCAAGTAGCTCCACCTAAAATTGTCAATATCAATTGGTTTAATTGTTCATATAAAATTTTTGTACTACAAATGTTAGACCCTAGGATAGGAATCATGTAACTTCATATTAACAAATTAAGACTTTGTGATTAAGACTTTGTGATTAATCCATTTGATTAAATAACTTGTCATTAATGGTTATATTAATAATATTTAATAATAATATTTAAATATTAATAATAAAAAAATCATGTTAGAAGAGTAACAATAAATTAGAAGATCACAATAAATTGCTTTCGCATTGTGGTCATTAATTAAATTAAAAGTGCCAAAGCCTGGAACTTGAGCACTGAAAGTTTGTGCAGCCTTAGCTACTTGTGGAAAAACACGTTTAGTCATCACTTCTAATTTGACAGACTTGAGTTTTAAGCCTGGCACTTGCAATCCAAACAAATTATATACGGACTATAAACTAATTAAAAATTTGATTATTTCTTAAGATATTTAGAGTATTGCCAAGTACTCATGATCAGTGGTTATTGGCAATACTCGAAACATCGGTGTATGGTCAGCAAATTTTCAATAAATTAACTAAAATTTTTGTCTTTGTCTTTACTTTACTATTCGAATACGTCTAACTTTTAATTTTATTTGCAAAATAATAAAGATAAAAATATTTTTGATTGGTATATGTATTGCTATATACACTGTCATATATATGAGGTAGCCCTTCTGACTACCAAACTATTACAGCCATTTTTAGAGGAAACTGTTCGAATGCGGCAAAACTCTTTACGGTTCCTACAGAAATTGAGTCCATTAGATATTAAAGCAACAGTAGTTCCCCATTGTTTGCACTTTGGTTTGGTAAAACATTTATCTCTAAGCTGTCAGTTGGTTTAAATTAAAAGCATTTAATATTATTTATTCTATTTATTGTAAAAATTATACTTACTTACTCATTATATAAAATTTTGTGTCATAATTACATATTAACTGTCCACACCTTATGTGATAAATGAAAACAAAAATAAACTTACTTAGCACTACTAAAAGAACTATAATAAACCATTTTTAATTTCATTAATAGCTACTGTCATTAAATTAAATGATATAAATTTCAAAAAAAAAAAATGTTTCTTTGTAGATAAGCCGCTTTATGATTACGCAATTATAATAATTCATTCGACTAATCCTCTTATGTATTTATAGTTTCTAAGCTGAAACATTTAAACACTTAATTTCAGCTTGCTTAAGCAGAAAATTTAGATTTCCACAACAACAAATTAAATTTAATTTGAACACTCACATAACATATGTAATAGTTTTGAAAGTTTTCGTACTAAATTTATGGAATATCTTTTATACTCCTGCTTTTTATACTCCTACTTTATTTTTAAATATAACTCTACTTCTTGAAAATACATACATATATAATATTTTTAAACTTCACAAAACTAATATGTTTGTGCGTTACACGCTGCGTATGAGTGACTTATTTTTGTGCATTCGCATACTGTATTGAACGGTGTGAAGTTAATGTATTACATTTTTTGTATATATATTTTTGCTACTCTATGTTCGCATATGTAACCTATATTTTATTTTTGCTGACTTTTTGCTAAGAAGTTCCAAGACGTAAAAGTTTTCCAGGCATTTTACCTACAAAATTTTGCACGGGCCTAGTTAATGTCATAAAAGTTTTATCGCAGAAATTAAAAATGATTTATGTAAGCTTGAAAAATATCATGATTACTTTTTTGAAAGTTTATAATTGTTCACCCAAATCAATAAATAAGAAATGCGCACAAATGGCCTTTGTTTAACAACACCCATTTTTAATTTATGTCCCGTCCCCTCTCGAATTTGCTCCATATAAAAAAATAAAAAATTAGATTACACAAAGTAAAGTTAATAAAATGAAAACGCAAACACAATTGAGAAATGAAAAAGGAACAACAGATAAAGATCAATATTTGGCAAAGTGTTTCTGTTTTCCAAATTCAATGTTAAAAAGTTTCAAAATATATGAAAAATGTGCTATCTATCAACAGAGCTGAGTGTGGGGTCTGAGGCTTACCTTTCAAGAGTTGTTTGTTTGTTTGGTTTGTCTGTAATAAATTGTACAAATTTTTTTAAAAAAATATAATTTATAAAAATTTTTTGAATTAAATGGTGCCGATAAACAATTATAAAAAGTATACAACAGACTTTTGTCTGCTATCAACAAAGGGTCGAGATATCACAATATAAATGGAATACAAATATATTTTATTTAAATAGGAGCCTTATTTGAATGCAGTATTTCTTAGTTAGTAACGACTAAAAAAATTTGTAAACTTTTTATAAGAGAAAGAGAAAAATATATCCAATTTACACATATAATTTACATATATATTCAGTTTTCGAATTGAATATGCAATTGACATAAAACCAAAAAATTGACATCAAAATTGTTTAAAATGAAGATGTAGTTGACAGCAATGAGCAATTTTGTACAAAAAGACTAGATTTAGAATAAGAAAACTCATGGATTCTGCAGAATAATAATACTTCATATTATAAGGTTGTCAGTTTGAAAGAATTTCTAACCAAGTACTCAAAAAATCTTTGTCAAGCAGCCACTATACTCTCCTAATATGATGACTTTTTTTCCAAAATTCAAATTATTGCTTCGAGACACCCGTTTTTCGGCGATAGATGTCATAGAATGGAATTAATCCATATTTACATATAAATAGCATATAAATATAAATATAGCATATAAATATAGTCCATATAAAAAAATACGTTCAAAGAAGGTTCTAATGATTGGAGCCTTTATTATTCGTGTATTGTTGCGGAAAAGCCTATGTTGAAAAGGATATAATAAACTTCGATGAATAACATTTATTTTGTTTCGCATTGACTGATTTTCGGTACTAATTTTTCATGGTAGTATGACTGTTTAGAGCCTGCATCGTTGTATAGCTTGTTGTGTCTCTAGATCACATTATCGCTAGGTTAACATTATACACTATCTACAAGAAACAAGTTCTTCTAATAAAACATTTTGAAAGTAGTAGTTATTTAGGTGCCATAAATGAAAAGCTGCTCTTGTAAAGTTAGCAATCGTTAGTATTTTAGTGTTTTTAATAGTTTATTCTTCCATCTATCGGGTGTTATCCAGAATTCAGAATTTTGTAAAGTAAGACCGTCTTATCCTCTTCTTTATTCCATTACGTTCCCAAGGGAACATTGGGCCGTCATATGCTCAGTGCAAAAAGTGTACTACATCAGGGAGCATGTCTTTTGGGGTTCAATAATATTTAATAGCATTACACGTTTTAGGTTTTATTTATACTTAAAATTTTGTGTTAGTAACAAAAAAAAGTAATGTACTATAAATGTCTTATGTCGATAAAAATATGCAGAGAGAAATATGTAAGTGTCTTTTCTATTGAATCTGTAATTCAGCAAGCATGATTAGTAGCCTACGGATGAAAAATGTTGTAGAACTCTTTGTGTTGTTAATATTTAACAATATTGTGAAAAAAAAAAACAAACAAGATTGTTGGTATTGTTGAATGAGTACTTTTTTAATAAAAGTAGCAGTCTCATCTGAATACAAATGATTTTAAAATAAATAATCAATACGAATTTAACAGTTTTCTATTCATTAAAAAGCAAATAAGTATTTTTTCATAAGTACTTTACATCATTTTAATTTTTAATTTATTTGTCTTGACTAATTTGTTATGTTGAGTCAATGCACTTGAGCACTTTTATTCTCTATTAACTGTAAGGTTTC